TTTAGCTGTCGCCACTCTTAAAGCTAACAGTGCAACTACGAAGGTTACTTAATGAATTACGTCAACATTATAGTGACCACTCAGGACGTGGAAATGACTATGGTATTTCGGGTTCAGGTGAGTAGAAGTGCTGTGACGTCATCTTTTGTGTTACAGATGTGGGTGGTGAAGCTGGACCCCGATTGTTGGCAACGACCATACCATGCTGAAAATACCAGTTCCCGTCCGATCACTGAAGTCAAGCAGCATCGGGCCCGGTTAGTACTTGGATGGGTGACCGCCTGGGAACACCGCGTGTCGTTGTCATTTTCGCTTTGTCAGTGAGGGCTGTGATGATCGTCTATATTTTCCACTGAATGCTTTTTTCGTTATGGCCTTTGCGGAGCAGTCTGGAAACATCTTCATATTTGTTTGGACTTAACATCTTCATGCTTCGCAAGCTTCTTCTCCGTAGTGAAAGACTCTTGGGACTGAAGTCATCGCGAAAGAGTCAAAGACGTTAACGCACCATTGTTTCACAATGCGGAGATCGCGTTGTCCTCAAACGGCAGTGAATAGTGATAGGTATGACCTGCCCTGAAAATGCAGTTTCTGTCTCGAGATTTGACCTGAGTCAGGTCCAACTGTGTTGTGCCGCTTTCCAGCTTTCTTGTGCAGTCGCTTTGATATGGTCACTGAAGCAATAAGACAAAACAGCGTCAACAGTCAACACGTAAACCATTACATTTGCTCAGGGCATGGCAATTGCGTTTTACTTTTGATACATCAGGCATGACATACATATGAGTGATCATGAAGGCGGTTTGTTAGCGGGGTAGGTTGCGTTCGCGCTCCAACCCATTTTTAACTTACATCAGCGGTGAACTGAAAGAAGCGTTAGTGAAGCAAGAGTACCTATGTTGACGGAACATGTATGTAACATACATAATATGTAGATACATGGTCTATGCATACCTGTATGCGTAGATACATGTATCTACGCATACTTGATGTAAGAAGCCCAGACATCTCTCAAACGCCGTATTCCTCAACAAGTCATCGTGTCGTGTCGCGGTGCCAACTGCCACCGCGGGGCCGGCGCGGTTCACGGTACACTACAAACACAGCTGCGCGCCATAAAACTAGCGCTGCGAGCGCAGGAAATGCGGCCCGCCGGTCCCCCGGTCCCGGCTCACCCACACACGCGCTCAAAGGGAAACACACACAACACACAGCACGCCACATTATACCAATTCATGAAACGATTCTATCACAACCTGCATAGACGATTTCCGCAAGCATGCTTAGGGTCTTCCTGCCCAAGTCGTTCCGAATGTGCTGCAAGTACCTTTTGGTAGAGCAATGAGCAATTCTATAGGGTGCTACGGAGCCTAATGTCAAGACTAAATAACTTATTGGTGGGAACATGGGCCTCACCGGGATGCCAAAGTTACTCATGCTGCAGATTTGCTTTACGTCATACGTAACATGCCGAGCTGTCGGTTCATGTTTTAAAGACTTAGACCTAGTGTGCCTGCTGCCTAGCGTCTTTGTCCCATTTTGGCAGAGACCCGGGACACGCTTCATGCTTTAGCTTTCGCCACTCTAAAAGCTAGCAGTGACTACGACGGTTACTGAATGACTAGCGTCAATATTGAAACCATTGTTCACTCGGGACGTGGAAATGACTATGGTATTTGGGGTTCATGTTAGTAGAACTGCTGTGACGTCATCTGTTGTGTTACACATATGGGTGGTGAAGCTGGATCCATGTTGGCAACGACCATACCATGCTGAAAATACCAGTTCCCGTCCGATCACTGAAGTCAAGCAGCATCGGGCCCGGTTAGTACTTGGATGGGTGACCGCCTGGGAACACCGGGTGTCGTTGCCATTTTCGCTTCATCAATCGGGGCCTGATTGTACATATGTATGCATGTATGAATTGGCGTCAAAAGCCTTCCACATAAGGCGTGGCGATTACGGCTTTTCGTGACGATTGATGTGATTGTTTGATGATTGATAAGATGTGATGATTGCTTAGGACAACTTAACAGCAACGCCGTCAACAGTCAACAGTCTACACGTAAACCATTACATTTGCTCAGGGGCCCAGGGCATGGCAATGGCGTTAGCAGATGTTTATGAACATGACGTAAGTAGGCATACCTTTTTATACACAGTGTGGGTACTGGGGTATACCCTGGAGTCTAGGAGCAACGATAAATGGAAGTAACAAATGGTACATACTATTTGCGACACTGTTATGTGCTTCTGTATATAAGGCACTGGCAGTGTTGGTGCCGATTCCGAACTGTCTTAATACACAACACATTTACATTTCCACTTTGTGACCTCACTTCCTCATTTATCAGCAAATTAAAAAGGGTTGGAGCGCGAACGCAACCTACCCCGCTAACAAAAATTGTACCAAGATACCTATAAATAACAGGTACGGTCAGAGTTTGAGATATGGAAGCACTTAATCACGACAAACATTGCGCAGATGAAACATATCTTGACGCAAATATTCAGCTGAGGTCGTAGTTTAGCATTAGTTTGATTGCGTCATAACAATAATAAGACTGTGAGACTAACGTGTAAGATGTGTTTTATGACGTCAAAATTACATCATTTTTACCTTGTTAACGAAAATGTATAATGCACTAGATCAAACCACGTCGAATGTTTTTGGCAAGGTATATTGGTTTTCGGGACATTTGAAAGTTAAACGCGGTCCGTCCGCGGATATATTTATTATTCATAGGCATCGTGGATTGTTGCGTGGTGCTCATGGGGCATCAGTTGGTGATTGATAACATTTTGCTTTGATTTCTGATTGCTGATGATTTAAATTCTATGATGGTTTACTGTGCGGAACCTTCGTGTAGAAATGGGTCCAGGAGAAGAAATAACCAGGCGCCCGGCACCAAATATCACAAGTTCCCAGCGGATGAAGTGATGGCAAGGTGATGATGGCAGATCATTAAAAGAGGGGAGCCATTTCCGAAGAACTTCTGCCAGTATTGTTTGTGTTCTTCGCCTTTTTTTAACTGCTGACTATGAAAGAGGCCTCAGGTCAGAACTGCTTAAGTTGCCTCCGCAGTATTCTGCCATGAAGCTGCTACCTACATCAGTCCCATCCAGGAACCTGACTCGTCCTCCAAGGTAAAGGCCTCACCTGACTACACTGCATGCGGTTTTCGCGGGTTTGCGGGTTTTGCGTAGTATTGTTGTAGTAAAAACAATGTTTTTGTGATATGTTTTGGTATTATAATTTAGTTAATATAAGAGTTTTATTAACTTTTGTATATAGCTAATGTTAAAGTTAAATTATGTCTTTTGTTTCTAGATCGATATTTCACAAAACACGCAAACCTGCAAAAAACGCATGCAGAAAACGCATACCTAGGTAGAGTAGCCAGGCCTTAAGTGTGCCCATCAGATATTTATGAGTTTACCTATCGGTTGAATAGCAAATCTGTATACACTTTACGGACAGCTCTCTTTTCAGCTGTCCGGATTGGTGAATAACCCATTTTTGAGGGACCTTTTTTGGCAATACATTAAGGTGTAGATATGTATAAGCATGTGCTGTGAATGGAAGGTTAGAGTTTTATGAATGGAGAGCTCACCTTTTCCATGATAAGTTTTGTTTTGTTTTCCATACCTAACCTACCAATTTTTGTGCCTGTCTTAGTAAGTTTGATACCAAATGAGTTTCCCACCAGCAGGGACAGGGATGAAGTTGCTCAGCTCAGATCAGATCAGATGGATAGTTGGGTATAGTCAAAATTACCCCATTTTGCCTTTTTTGTTATAAGGAAAGCTCAGCTGAACAAACAACTTAATTTTGAACTTCTTGTTAGCTCTGAGTTACCAGCTAGAATAGACATCATTAATTTCACGTATTTAGCAGTAAGGGTTTGTTACTAAAGTTGGTTATTTTTACAGAGTCACAACACCAAGGAGTGGTGCTGCTACACAGAGAGGCATGGGTGGAGAATGTTTGAAAAAGTTACCCCGGCCGGCGACCGATAGTCGGAAAGACGCGACTAAGCTCACGTTGTTGTCAACGATCATCATAAACAAACCCCTATTCGCTATTCTGACCCATGGAAATGGAATAATGGACGTTGTGTTTGTTCAAGGGTGAGCGTTGTATCCGACATTGTATCATTCATAACATTGTTGGCGATAATTGAAAAGGCGATTTTCTTTTAAGTGATTTTTTACTTAAACTTATGCAATTTCACAACATATCCAATCCATATCTATCATGTGTCATTATGAGTAAATGTTGCGTTTTCAGCTTTTTATTGTGTCTCAAAATAGCTACAAAAAGATGACAGCTCACCTCATAGGAGCTTTACAGAGAAAATTGAACGTTCGAACCAAAGCACTGAAATGGGTCACTGATATCCAGGGACACAGTCTCTTTCAATGTTGGGTGGCTAAGACAAACAGGGAGTCTATCCAGGGATATCGACCGGTCCCGGTCTCGTAGCTCAATCGCTTGAGCGTTGGACTCCGCGTGGCGAGAGCACGCGTTCCGGTTACAACAGTCCGAGCTCGACGCGTGACGGACGCTCGGTGTATGAGCATCCTGACGGCTACGCCCTGACGGTATGGCTGCGGTTTGTGGCAGGCCAGTCGAAGGCAGTGAGGTCAAGCAGTGGTTCTAAAAAAGTGCGCCGAAGGCGCGCCAAATTTTCGAAACTGAACACGATTTGAGAGCAATCTTGGCATTGGCAACCACACGCGGGTCCTAGGGCTCAACGCCACCGCATGGTAAGTTGAGTACTTAAATAGTGTAAATACTAAATACCCTCCTGATTTGCAGTATTACGCCCATGGCAGTCAACATCCGAAAAACGACAGTTTTCTTTTCTCGTATGGTGACAGCTTTTAGGATTTACAAGAGTGGAAAAGTTACCCCGGCCGCGCCGGGGTAGGCTGAAAGTTACCCCGGCCACGGCCGGGGTGGCCGGGGCAGGTTCTCCACCCATGCAGAGAGGTGGAGAGGAAGATGAGTCAAGGCAGGTGCAAGAAGAAGGAGAACAAGCAGCTCCCAAAGACTCATCACTCCAAGCAGAAGAATGCCTGCATTCAGATGCATCTGTACAGACGAAGTGTGAGCCTTCAAAGTACGTCGTATCTTATTTAACTTATTTCAGATACATTTCAAGTATGTTATTTATGTACACATGTATATGACTTTACTAGAAAATAGGTGCAGTTTGAAACATAGATTTAATTCCTGTCATTGCCCAATATTGGTGGAAGATTGGTTAAGAATATCCTCCTCAAGCTCAGTGTTACTATAAAGTCAGGAATAAAAATTGGTAATTCCTTTATAGCACAGTACCTGTGGATTGTAGAATATTAGTTACAATCAGTACTCACCCACATGAATGAAACACATCTGCACCCAGGCCCCCCCCCCCCCCACCCCCACCCATGCTCACATGAATAGCTGATAGCACCCATGATAGCTAAAGTTACTTCTGTATTTTGAAATCCCTTTCTTGTTCTGATGATCGTTTTGTCCTAACAGGTGTACCAGACGGACGCCGTGCCTGACGTCTCGCAGCCGGAGCCCGACGCCGTGCCTGCGGCGCAGCCGGAGCTCGACGAGGAGCCGCCGCCGCCTCCGCAGCTGCTGGAGCTGGAGGAGGTTTGCCCCGCGCCCACGGAGGAGATCCCGGAGGGGACTGAACACCTGGTGCAGGAGCCGGACGACGAGCCGTCGCCGGATGCTGAGGAGGAGGCAGAACGGGAGCTTCTGGACGCCGAGCTCGGAGAGGCGTGCCATGACACGGGTGAACCTGAACAGGTAATGGAGCCACGTGAACCAGACTAGCGAGCTGGTCTCCCTGCTGGCAGAGGCAGGTTCAGTCCACATCCCGGGTCAGCCGTCTGGTGCCCGTGATTGTGAAACCGGAGTGCTGGCGTCCGACAGTGCTCTGGCTCACGTCGCAGGTTACGTTGCGCGAAAGCGCCCGCGATCCCTCGGCGCACCCTCCGCCCATGCCGAGGACGTCCCTGTCCAGGCACTGTGGACGCGGCTGCGCAGTGTTGGAGGCATGACTGTTCCCACCGAGTCTTTCTTGGAACTGTGCAGGGAGCTCGAGACCTGTTTCTGTGCCTACCACGCGATGCACCCCGATGAGCTCAGTCGAGAGCGCGGCGTCATCCGCAACGCCACCCGTATGATGGCCGAGAAATATTCGCGGGGCGTGCAGTGTGACAAAATCCTGAAAGTGTTCGTTCGTGTGCGAACCTTTATCCGCCTGCGAACAGCGAACTCGACTCGACGTGCGGAGACGCTGGCTAAGCGGAAGGTGCGGAAGCTGCGTCACCACGCACAATAAACAGATTGGCAGAGGCACACATCATTCATTACATCGCGATATTATTTATTGATCTCTTGAGCCTTTCTTTTTTGTTACAGCTGGGTAGTCGTTCAGTTTGTGCCTGACTCGAGTTTCCAGACCTTCTGCTAGCTACCGTCTCCACACGGCGAACTGGGTCCAATTTGTGACAGATGCTCGAAAATGCGTCCGTGTACAGTGAGGGCGGAAATGATGTGATGTCGCCTAGGAGCCCTAATTGTTCTCGACCGTGTCGTGATGCATCGTTTTCATGATTCGTTTCCCTTAAACTAGCTTGACTGTTTGCTGGCAACGAGCCATTTCATGTTGCACACATCTGCGATGATCGACGGCCAGCGCCTGCTGGCGGCACCGCTGCCGCCGCCCAGCGCCGCCTCTGCCCGCCGCCGGCGCCCAGCAGCCACCTGCGGTAGAGGCTGTCCCCGACGCTCCCCGACGCTCACGCCGAAGGCGCCTCGCGCGGCGTCGCCTCCAAGTTCGGTGGGGCGCAATCTCTTACCGCGGGCGAGGGGACAATTGAGCTTCATGTTGCACAGTATTTGTTGATTTCCGTTATTGTCCGCAACAATTGTCTCAAGGGAGAGATGTGATGTCGTCTGATGTAAGATGATATGTGATGTGATGGAGATGTGATTCCGTCTACCCACTAACCCCTCCCCTCGCTGAATACAGCTCTGTTCCTGATAACTTTTCTATAATGCGCATTGTGATAATCGATAATCGGACTAATTCAGTGACTTAATAACGACAAAGACCAGAGCAATTGGATGCAAAAATATTGCGTGTGTTCGTGTTTTAGATGCAACAAACGAAGGGCTTGTTATGCCGTACGAGCTAACGTGTAGTTATCGAGCGTAATACCTGTACATATACAATACCTGTACAGGTACAAGGCATTAAAAATACTTGTGTCATGTATATAACGCATTGCGGCGGCGGCGCCCAATACGTAAATGCGAACTCGATGCCTAAACGCGAACGCTGGGCGCCGCCGTCTCTCCGCTATCATAAAAGATACCGAGGGGATGTCCAACCCTGCTTTCGGCATCCGGAAAATCGGGGAGAATTAACCGGGATCAGCGAGAATTATCGGGGATCACGTTCGGTATCGCGACAACGAGACATGCTGAAGATAGGCGCTCACCAATAATTCTCCGACGGATAATAACCGAGGGACAATATTTTCCGGGTACCGAAAGCACCCCAGGGCCCAGATATGATATCCCCTAGCGGCCCCGCGCGGGCCGGATCACGTGACCTGACTAGGTGACAGGAAGCGAAATGAAGCAATGTCAGAGCTATGGTGCAATCTTCCATTGTCCAAACAGTGGTGCCAGAACCGCAAGCACGTAACGCCATGTCCAGAATGAATAAACCCATTAGAATCACGTATGCCCATCTTAAAGGATAGGCGGACTGGAGTGTTAAATACTGCGATTTTTCCCTGTTTGCAATCAAGACATGGCAAAAATCGATACGGATCTGGAAAAAGGACTAATTATGCTTCAATATGCCCCAAGTTTCATATTTGTATTCTCAATTTCAAGCAAAATATCTTAAATCGAAGTTGGGCCAAAACTGCCGTTTCCCCCATTGTTAACAATGGTGAAGGGAAAAGTGAAGGGAAAAGTCAAGCGCGCGTGACGTCACCGGCGCTTGACGCTACCAACGACTCTGACTGGGGGCCGAATTGTACTCCCGAGTTATCCACATTTGGGATAATCGCAGGGGTCAACCCAACCGAAGTGCAATGGAAGGGCCTCGCCCTGGGGGAACCGCCTACATGATCACGGTATCCCCTGAGCCAGGTAAGTATGAGTTTCGCCGGCGATTTTTCCGTATATATGCCATAGTGACTAAGGAGTACGTTCTTCCAACTAGAAGTTCATAGGAGAGCCTAAAGCTGACACAAAACGCTAAGGGCGCATGCTGCTTTACAAAAATTTGATGGTTCTGAACCCCTTGTCAGCATTGTTCACCTTAAGATTCAGAAAAAAAACGTTACGGCACATTTTCTAAAAACTCAGCATATAATTTGGTGCAGTACAAAACTGCCCTCTATGAGCTGCATATTAAGTTATAGTTCAGAGAGTAATCTATGGACCGATAGACCAATGACCTGCTGGTCTATCATGGTCATTGGTCAATCATTACCTACTACAATACAAGCCTACCAGTGCAGTTCATAAATCATTAAACTACCCAGAATGTTACAAATGTTAACTTATTTGAAGATATTTCAGTCAAGACGTAACATGAACATGACTCAAGTACCTAATGACTCCCATAGCATAGAGTGACATCAGCGAGCTCTAGCGGGCTACACCACCGCCATCTATAAGCCGTTGGTAGTAGGTATATCGATAACAGTGGGCTAGCGGGCTACACCACCGCCACCTATCGGATGTTTTAGAAGTTTGCCGCCTCTCCAGCTATCATATTTCATGAGTGACTGAGAATGCTGAAACTTCTCATTTGAGATCAATTGAGACGAGCCTCGTAAGATCGCAATATGGCGGAGAGTATGGCATAGGGCACTGAGCAGGACACGAGGTGTGCACTGCACAGGTCAGGGTTCTGACTTCTGAGCTGGGCACAGTTGACAGTTCAGGGAACAGGGAAGGACGCGAGGCATGACACAGGGCAGGGTATAGGGGGCATAGTTCGGAGAGTAGGGCAGAGAACAGGGAACATGACAGATAGCACGTGCACGGAACAGGATATGACATATTCCAGGGCGAGGCAAAGACCCGGGACACGCTTCATGTTTTAGCTGTCGCCACTCTTAAAGCTAACAGTGCAACTACGACGGTTACTGAATGAATAACGTCAACATTATAGTGACCACTCAGGACGTGGAAATGACTATGGTATTTGGGGTTCAGGTGAGTAGAAGTGCTGTGACGTCATCTTTTGTGTTACAGATGTGGGTGGTGAAGCTGGACCCCGATTGTTGGCAACGACCATACCATGCTGAAAATACCAGTTCCCGTCCGATCACTGAAGTCAAGCAGCATCGGGCCCGGTTAGTACTTGGATGGGTGACCGCCTGGGAACACCGGGTGTCGTTGTCATTTTCGCTTTGTCAGTGAGGGCTGTGATGATCGTCTATATTTTCCACTGAATGCTTTTTTCGTTATGGCCTTTGCGGAGCAGTCTGGAAACATCTTCATATTTGTTTGGACTTAACATCTTCATGCTTGACAAGCTTCTTCTCCGTAGTAAAAGACTCTTGGGACTGAAGTCATCGCCAAAGAGTCAAAGACGTTAACGCACCATTGTTTCACATTGCGGAGATCGCGTTGTCCTCAAACGGCAGTGATAGGTATGACCTGCCCTGAAAATGCAGTTTCTGTCTCGAGATTTGACCTGAGTCAGGTCAAACTGTGTTGTGCCGCTTTCCAGCTTTCTTGTGCAGTCGCTTTGATATGGTCACTGAAGCAATAAGACAAAACAGCGTCAACAGTCAACACGTAAACCATTACATTTGCTCAGGGCATGGCAATTGCGTTTTGATACATCAGGCATGACATACATATGAGTGATCATGAAGGCGGTTTGTTAGCGGGTAGGTTGCGTTCGCGCTCCAACCCATTTTTAACTTACATAAGCGGTGAACTGAAAGAAGCGTTAGTGAAGCAAGAGTACCTATGTTGACGGAACATGTATGTAACATACATGTTATGTAGATACATGGTCTATGCATACCTGTATGCGTAGATACATGTATCTACGCATACTTGATGTAAGAAGCCCAGACATCTCTCAAACGCCGTATTCCTCAACAAGTCATCGTGTCGTGTCGCGGTGCCAACTGCCACCGCGGGGCCGGCGCGGTTCACGGTACACTACAAACACAGCTGCGCGCCATAAAACTAGCGCTGCGAGCGCAGGAAATGCGGCCCGCCGGTCCCCCGGTCCCGGATCACCCACACACACGCTCAAAGGTAAACACACACAACACACAGCACGACACATTATACCAATTCATGAAACCAAACGATTCTATCACAACCTGCATAGACGATTTCCGCAAGCATGCTTAGGGTCTTCCTGCCCAAGTCGTTCCGAATGTGCTGCAAGTACCTTTTGGTAGAGCAATGAGAAATTATATAGGGTGCTACGGAGCCTAATGTCAAGACTAAATAACTTATTGGTGGGAACATGGGCCTCACCGGGATGCCCAAGTTACTCATGCTGCAGATTTGCTTTACGTCATACGTGACTTGCCGAGCTGTCGGTTCATGCTTTAAAGACCCAGTGCGCCTGCTGCCTTATAGCGTCTTTGTCCCATTTTGTCAGAGACCCGGGACACGCTTCATATTTTAGCTTTCGCCACTCTAAAAGCTAACAGTGACTACGACGGTTACTGAATGACTAGCGTCAACATTGAAACCATCTTATTCACTCGGGACGTGGAAATGACTATGGTATTTGGGGTTCATGTGAGTAGAAGTGCTGTGACGTCATCTTTTGTGCTACAGATATGGGTGGTGAAGCTGGATCCATGTTGTTGGCAACGACCATACCATGCTGAAAATACCAGTTCCCGTCCGATCACTGAAGTCAAGCAGCATCGGGCCCGGTTAGTACTTGGATGGGTGACCGCCTGGGAACACCGTTGTCATTTTCGCTTCATCAATCGGGGCCTGTATTGTATGTATGCATGTATGAATTGAATTGACATCAAAAGCCTTCCACATATGGCGTGGCGATTACGGCTTTTCGTGACGATTGATGTGATTGTTTTATGATTGATGAGATGTGATGATTGTTTAGGACAACTTAACAGCAACGCCGACAACCGTCAACAGTCAACACGTAAACCATTACATTTGCTCAGGGCATGGCAATGGCGTTAGCAGATGTTTATGAACATAAGTAGGCATACCTTTTTATACACAATGTGGGTACTGGGGTCTAGGAGCAACGATAAATGGAAGTAACAAATGGTACTATTTGCGACACTGTGCTATGTGCTTCTGTATAT